GTAATTAGGGTGTTCCTATCCAGCAAAAATATCTTTATTGCTTTAACAAAAATTTTTTTATTTTTTTGACATAAATTTTTTTTTATATTTTTGAAAAAGAAAAATTTTTTTTATTATTACGCCAAGAAGAACTCGAGCATTTACATCCACTTCGTTTCTTTGTCTTGCGTTCAAGTACGAGCCAGATATTGAATATTCCGCACATCCGGAAGTGATGATTGGTTCTATGAACAAAGATTGCCCTTATTGTCATGCACTCGAATTCAAACAAAAATCAGACGGGTTGTGTTGTGCATCAGAAAAAGTGCAACTACCAGAAATTGAGAGACCACCAGAACCATTGAACGGCTTGCTCATTGGCACGCATGAAGATTCAAATCTGTTCATGAAGTCCATTCGCATATTTAATTCATGCTTCCAAATGACTTCGTTCGGAGCAACGGAAATAGTTCACAATACTGCGGTAATTGGTCAACAATTTAATTCAACGTTTAAAATCAAAGGCCAAGTGTACCATAAAGTAGATTCATTTTTGCCAATGCCAAGGTTAGGTTAGGTTAGGTTATACCGGCGATCCCAGGGGGATCCACTGAGGCATATAGGCCCATTGTGATACCGTATTATTTAAAACCCATGAGCTAAAACCATCCAGAACCTTTAATAAAGCTTATGATAATAAAGCTGATGATGCTATATAGAGGGAGGTCTCGAAGTTCGTCAAGATCCTCAAAAAAGAAAGCCCCCAAAAATTTAAGGCGACGCCGCGCATGTGCCAGACAGGAAGAAAGCAGGTGAGAGGCACTTTCGTCATCCTCACCACAACTGCGACAAAAATGGTTGAACGGTAGATTCAGTCTCCTAGCATGATTACCTAGAATACAATGACCTGTTAGTAAACCTACTACAAGACTGATATCTCTACGGGACATCTCTAAGAGAGATTTCGATTTTCTATTGTTGGTCACATTGCATACAGATGCCTGCATATTGCACTCTTCCCATCTTTTGTTAAAAAGTTCGGAACAGGAAGAACTCAAAATCAATTTGCATGATGTTAACGATATGCCCAGATTGTTTAGGTGTTCCGAGTGGTTCCCTGAAGCACCACGTCTGGCTAGCTCGTCTGCTTTACAATTGCCGTAAATATCCATATGACCGGGAACCCAGATTAGAGAAATATTGAACTGCATCACCATCTCATTTAGAGATGTGTAGCAGTCAAGGACCGTCTTGATGTGCATTGGACAGAACTCGAGGACTTTAAAGCAGCTTGACTATCCGATAGTATACATATATTCCTTTCAAGTATATTACCTACTTCTAGACCAGCTAAAGCTTCCTTAATGGCAATTACTTCTGCCTGAAAAACACTACAGTGATCCGGAAGCCTATAGCAGGAGGATATATTCAGCCCATTTGAGAAAACTCCACCGCCTAAGCCGGTCCCAGTCTTTGAACCATCAGTAAAAATTTGTAGACCCTCACCTAGGGAGGGACCTCCTGATAACCAAGCTTCCCTGGATGGGAATCTATCAATAAATTTCCTATCAAAGTTGAGAATCGGAGAGGTGTAGTCAATGTTATTTCGAGTAAAACAGAAAATATTTAGAATCGAGCCGTGCCCATAGTCACTAACCTTCTATTATGAAGTAGCCTTAAGTCTTAGGGCAGATGATGCTGCCAACTGCTTACTGATGATAACAAGTGGCATTAAGTGGAGCATTAGATCTAATGCCATAGATAGTGTTGTACATAGAGCACCACTAATACAGAGTTCAGCCTTGCGGTGAACCCTGTACAGTACGAAGATTTATCAAGAGCTGTCCACCATATGACAATGCCATACAGAAGTATTGGTCTAATGACAGCAGTGTATAACCATTGAGCGATACGTGGTTGCAATCCCCACCTTTTACCAATAGCTATTTGACAAAGGAGCAATGCAATGTTTGCTTTCCTAGCTCGCTCCAAAACATTTTCTTTCCAGCTCAGTTTCCTATCGAAAACAATGCCTAAAAATTTTGCTTTCTCAATAAATTGTATCGCTGAACCTTTAATACAGAGTGGAGAAAGATTTGGAACCCTATGTTTTCTGGTAAATATTACGATTTCTGTTTGGCCAATGCCAAATGAACCATATAAATGTTTACAAATATACTTCACGGGCGGTGAGGACATCAATCGTGTCGATGCACGTTGCGAAAACAATAACATCAATTCGCCGTATGCCAGGCGCATTGTCGGCGAACTAGATACCCTATTGAACGAACACAATGAATTATTGAAATTCTTTAAATCACACATGCACAAATTGCAAAGTGACAATCACGCTATCATCATCAATCCTGATAAAACACCAGCTGGAGAGCACGTACGTAGATTCAATGTGCCTGTTGTTGACGACGTTGCTGGAATCATGGTTGGCGACATCACATCGACTCGAGAAATCGTGATTAGAAGAAGAAACAATAATCTGGATTTCATCGCCGACACACACCGTTCATACGACGCTCTACAATATCCGCTAATCTTCTGGAAGGGACAAGACGGATATTGCATAAACATTAAACAACGAGATCCCGAAACAAACAAGTTCGATGGATTTTTATGCATATCGTATGATGATTCGACGCGATTAAGACAATATCATTCTGCGATATCATGACCGACACCGAAACAGGCGATATTGGTAATTCCATCATTCTACCATCATCAGTTGAAATAATTTATACGGCAAAACAACGTTTGCCGGGTTATCCAGTATATATATATAATTTCGCGAAATATATATATAGAAAGTATACTATATATACTATATATAGTATACTATATAATATATATATTTATTATTTATATTATTTATATTATAATTGATATAAATATATATATGTTCTTTATATATATTATATATATATATATATTATATATATAATATATATTTCGCGGAAAAAAAACAACTTCCAAAAAAAGCCCTTTTACTTGTGGACAGCACACCGTACCACGCAAAAGTCAACAAATTTCAAAGTGGTGATGGAATGATCACTATAATGTGTTTTCCACAAAATTGCAGTACCGTTGTATAGCGAATGGACCAATTAAACAAAACATAAAAATAGCCTTTTGGCAGATTTGCTTGCAAATATCATCCGAAACAAGATCTAGCTAATGCTAGGGATCAAGATATAATACCTAACACTGAGTGAAGATACGCCACTAAATGTAATCAAAGAAAATCTAAACGAAGAACAGGCAGCCATGAAATCAATGGTCCAACAACTTGATTCAAATGTGTTGCTAACAACTGAACAAGCTAGTCAACGGGTAAACGAAACCTTTTTAACCAAGAAACTGAGAGTGATGATGAAGAAAGCAAAGATGAAGTTAAGGCACAACAAATTGTTCCCCCGTAAAAAATTAAGGCAACAAATTCTATAAGTGCATACAATATGTGCATTCAGTGAGCCGAGAAGAATGGAATGCCCCTGCAAATTTTAGTTTAAAACAACATATAGAAGAAGCAGTACTGAAAAATATCACTTGCCAAAGAAAGCAATTACTTAGGGCCATGTTATGCAGAGTGTCTCGGGCACGGCAAAATTCGCTCTTTCGGGCTATGCCGAAAATGCATGTTATGCAGAGTGTCACATCAGTATTGCCAATTTTATATTTTTACTACTTCTTGATTGTGCCTAAATTTAAAAGAAAATTTAGATATGCTCACTTTCAATTTGCCACCAAAAATAACTAGTAAGAAAAAACTCATAGAGGCTGTACTAATGTTAATTTATTATATTATTTTATAATAATTGTTAACAGTACTAAACAGTACTTATGCCTTTCTTTAAAATCGGAAAGTGTAATAATTATATTAATAGCGATTTATTAAAAAAAAGGCTGTGTTGCTTACTGCCATTTTTTCTTCAAAACGTATTAGAATTGTAGTAATTTGCTCCTAAAAGGCGCAAATTTTAAAATTTATTACTAAACAACACTATTTTGCCTTAGTGCCAGGGCACAAATACGCCGACTCTTATGCCGGAGTTTGAACGGCCATATTGTTATTTCTCTCATTCTCAAGTTTAAAATTGGCATTGAAAACAACAACAATTGTACTCATGCCGTTTCCGAGACACTCTGCATAACATGGCCCTCAATTTTTTTTATTATATATTTACTTTGTATTGGTAGATCAGTTACGTGAATTTTTTCTCGGTTAGTGCTATAACTCGGTATTTGGAACAGCCTTGGTTTTCATTAGGTTGGAATAACCGAGAACGTACTGTATGGACATATGTACACATATAATTTAGGAATTTAAAGAATAATAAAATTAATTTAAAGACGATCTAAAGAATTGTTTAATTTATCTAGTGACAAGGATAAAAAATTCTCGATTGCTTTAAGAAAAGCAAAATAATAGAAATTTTTAACTTCAACTTCAAATTTTTAAATTCGATTCTCGACAGAATTTCAATTAAAAAACTATGCAATTTAAATGTTAATATCTGTATAAAATATTAATTGTTTAATAAAAAAAATTAGGAAAAATTGAAACGTGAAAATATTCGATTGCTTTAAGAAAATATTCGAAAATTTAAAATTGCTTTCTTTTGGATAAATTTTTTATGTAAAAACAAATTCATTAGGGAATCGGTGCAACACATATCATATGTCTATCTCATAAGTGCAACTCAAGTACAATGTATTCTGACGGAATAAACTTTAAGTTAACAGTTTTCGTGGGAATGCTTTGTTCACTGGGTTCTGCTAAATAAAAATATTCTCACCAATTTTGTTATTGCACTTATATATATAAGTATTTGCAACAGCTTTGGTTTTCATTAGGTTGCAATAACATATACCGTACTTTATATGTATGTATATTTATATAATATATCATATATAATATGATTACGGGGATTTATAATATGTAATAATTATTCATATATTTCAACAAACACATGCATATATCTTTCATTTTTCTATATTATTTAGCTTACTGCTTGCGAATTTGAATTAGTATCTTCATCCATAAGTTTGTCTGTCTCCATTTTTATCATGTTTCGATATCAGTAATTGAAAAAGGGAAAATTTTCGCCTATCTCTTAATTTTATCTGAAAGACAATATTTTTAATGTATACAGTGAATTTAGTGTGATGTATTTAATACCGTGATTTTGAAATTTATACTTGAGTAACATAACTTCTTAAAAATAAATATATTATGAATTTATTTTTGTAAAAAAAATTTAAGAATGCAACATGTTTATTCTCATTAGCAGAAAACAATAAACATTTTCCATGATATATCCGAACAAAATGCAATACGACAAATATTACCGAAAATTCAACGAAGTTTTAACGACGTTGTCACGAACTTAGTTTTACAAAAATACGACAAAAACAGTAGTACCAACATAAATAATAATGCTGCTTATTGACCAATTAGTATTTTCAACTTTATAAAGCGGGTATTACACTACATTCATACAAACTAAATTAAAGTGAACATGTAAGCAGTGTATCCCTCATCAGATCTGAATATTATAGCATTGACAGACGGGAGGTAAATTATCATTCAGGGGCTAAATTATAATTTATTTGCTCATTTAGCAGTTTTAAATGATCATTTATGGTCTTTAAATGACCGAATTTAACTCAATTTATCATTTAGGTTTTTAGAAATGGTAATGCTGCATATGCAAGTGAAACGAAATAAAAAATGAAACAAATTTCAAACTATTTGGTTGTCGAAATGTAAACAAAACATATTTGGAAATATGTATATATCGAGTATTGGAATACTCGATATATTTATATATATTTTATATTTTTATTATATATTTTAATTTTTTTATATATTTTATAATTTTTTTATATATTTTATATTTAATTAAACCAAATTTTTTTTTAATTTTTCTTGCTTATCCATTTTGAATTTAAAATCCTTTCTTTGGCTGTTTCAATAACAACAAACATATCAGTGACGATTGCTCTAAGGTGCGGAGGTGTGCGGTGAACACCCTAACATAATTTGCAAAATGTCAAATAACATAGGTATATAAATTTATTAAGTATCTTCACATCAAGAATTATTATTATTTATTACATTTCCATATATATATATTTAAAGTTTTAGCAAAAACAATTAAATATAATTGTTTATGAAAACTGAATCAATTTGCTTCTGTTAGCCGCTATACTTGTTAGTTGTGCTCATATATTTGCAGCTCAAATCACAGAACATTTCTATTTTATTTCGTCTCTCCCCTTTGTGTGCAAAGAAGTTGGCCGCACATTCATACGTTGCATATGAACAAAATAATGTGCATGTGCTCCCGTTCGTAATATCAGAAATAGAGATTTATATAGTGGGAATTGTATGAGAGTAATTTTCTGTTCTACTCGAATATCAACTGCATGCATACGAATCCAATATGATGATTTGCTAAAGTGGTTGCATGAGCGGCTGAAGTTTGCAGCTCATCTCACCATACATTTCTATCACATTTCGTCTCTCCCCTTTTAACAATAGCACCCAGGAATTTCTGTCGCTGACTGTGCAGAGTACTTGTCCGCACATTTATACGTTGCAAGTGGGTTTAATTTTGTTTGATCACTGGATAAACATGTATGGTTCTGAGTTAAAACTCTTTTGTTTGAAAAAAGTTGGTTTGATGTTACGAGAAGAATTATGTGAAAAATTTTGTTTTTTCCATATTGATATAATATTAAACTTATATATAAATTATTAATTTAATTTGTTTAATATGTTATTTTGTTAATGAATTGTTAATATAATATTGCGAATATATTGTTGCGTAATATAATATGGTTATTATTAATAAAACATCTCATATATTTTAATTTAAGTGGTACATGTAAAAACAACATTAAAGAAGGGCCGCACACCCTTCCAGATAGGGCACGCGTCGTCACTGAAACATATGATACAGCAACTTCTTAATGATAATTTATCAGAGTTCGGAATGTGGTATACAAAATCGCACACTGCACTGCGCGAGTGAAAATTATTTTTAAAATATGCAAACGCACATTTGTGGTGTTAAGTAAAAAAATGTACGCACTCAAATTTGTTGTGCGGTTTCAAATTTCACATCGCAAAAAGGGATGATTGTGCACACAAATTCGTGCACACACATTTGTGCTGTGCTCCCCCTGCGGGATAGGGGTTAGAATATTCCCGCGGTAAGGCATGCCTGTCGTAAGAGGCGACTAAAATCCAGCTAGGCGTCGGAGGGTGGGGCTTAAAAGGTCACAGCAACCCTGAGAAGCCCCTAAGCTGAGCCGAGTAGACGCCGGCTCTAACTAAGCGTCCACCATCCCGGGATGGCATTGAGGGACACGTAAGCGCACAATGTCTGCTTCCAATGTGAGAGCAATTGATGCGCCAACGAGGGAGTCGGAAATGCGCAGCGTCTGTATATCATGTTAGGGACGACTGTCGCATCACAATTCATATACGAGAGATGATAATGGAGGAAGCCTATAAGAAAAGGCATCAGGATCGATACCAGTAAGATTCTGATTATGGTATACTGGAGCAAACGATGGGATATGATGACTTGGGCTGGTGGATGATGTATTTTGTTACCAATATGGGCTAGAGTGAAATCTGGTCCAGGCTTTCAGGCTAATGCTTCATCTGCCTCCGTCCCGTTAAAACCTGGCAAGCCTTAAAGAACGATCTTGGATTCGTCCTGTTAAGTTGGGGTGTAGGGGCAGTTAAGAATATCTTCTGCTTAGCTCCCGGTTTGGCTCTGAACACATGCGCTCATAAGGCTATGTGTCAACCCTCGCATGACCTCCCTGCATTGCAAAGATAATCATGGAACCACAATAAGGGTAACTACACAACGAAACCAAGATAACGGCTTTAAGTTGGGACCCAATTGCAAAGAAAAATGTTCACAACTACAAAAACACCAATACACTCTGGCGTTAATACTCCAACCGGCACCGAAAGTGCAAAGGAGTCACGGATAGTCAGTCCCAGCCAAAACCCCTTCATGAGGGCGCTGAGACTAACACACTCACCTGTGCTATCACAAGAGAGGCAAAATAACGAGAGAGCTCGCTCAGCCCCTCCGGAGCTTAATGGGAACAGTGTTCCAAAAGTGAAAAGGGAAGCGTTCATTAAACTCGGAGACAAAATATCCGAGCTAAATGAGATGATGGGTGGAGGAAGAAGGTCCATCCACCAAGCAATGCGTGATCTTGTTGCAATGATATTATCGCTCTATAAAAGAACTGCCGAAGAGACACCAAATAAAACTATCACCGCTAAAACCAACGATAGAGGTACCCAAACAATTCAGCCGCAACAAACACCAGTTATATCCAAACGGTTAAGAGAAGAAATCGAAAAAAGTAGGAAGACACCGCCTAAGAAGACGAAAACAAATCGACCTGTGGGGGCAAATAATACTAAGTCTAAGGAGCCAAGGAAAGCATTGGAAAGCAACTTAGATACGGTGGCCGGGACGAACGGCAACGCTGATGTACCTCAAGCACCAATTGAAGACAACAACAAACGACACGCTTGGGTTTTACAAACAAAAAAACGCGTGAAACCACCTCGACCGGATGTAGTGATCATTAAACCGTCTGAGAAACTTTCCTTTGCGGACATACTCCGGAAAGTAAAAGGAGCTCCAGAGCTTAAAGCAGTCGGTAATGATGTTCACTCTATCAGGAAAACACAGAAAGGGGAACTTCTGGTTGAATTCAAAAGATCAGCAGAAACAATAACAAGTGTCCACCAAGACCACATCAAAAGTATACTATCTGAGGAAATAGAGGTCAAAACGCTAACGGAAGAAGCTACCTTTGAACTACGATACCTGGACGAAATAACCACAGAAGAAGAAATAATTGATGCATGGAAAAACCAAATAGGCGAAATACTTTCCTCGGCGATTAAAACAATAAGAAATGCCCCTGAAGGTACCAGAACGGCTATAATTGTAATACCAAAGAAGCAGGCCGGTAAAGCTGAGCAGGTGGGCAAACTACGAGTTGGATGGACCGTGTGCCGATTACTCCAAAAAGTTACCCCCAGGAGATGTTACAAATGCTTCGATTTTGGACATGTGGCAAGGAACTGTCAGAGCTCCAAAGACTGGTCTAAACACTGCTACAAGTGTGGTGGGGAGGACCACCTTGCTAAAGCGTGTCAAGGTTCCCCTCACTGCCTACTTTGTAGAACTGACACAAATATTGACGCTAACCATATTACGGGAGGACCTAAATGTCCCCACTACTTGACTGCCCGCCGGAGGATACTAAATAAAAAAAGATGAAAGTTTTACAGCTGAACTTAAACCACTGTGAAGCGGCACAGGATCTGTTAAAGCAGACTGTACGCGAATTAAAAATAGATCTAGCTATAATGAGCGAACATTATAGTACACTAGACAATCACTGCTTGGCTACCAGCAAGTGCAACAAGGCATCGATATGGACGTGTGGTAAATTCCCACTAGAGAAGGTCTACGACGGAGGGGAAGCATACGTAAAAAGTACAGTGAATGGAATAACGTTTTTCAGCTGTTATTTACCCCCCAGTCTATCAATCGAAGAATACAAACAAAGACTGGACAATATTGTTAGCGACGCTAAAAATATGAAGCCGATAGTGATTGCCGGTGACTTCAATGCCTGGGCCATTGAATGGGGCTCAACATTGACAAACCCCAGGGGAGAGTGCCTACTAGAAGCATTGGCCACCCTGGATGTAGTATTACTGAACTGCGGCCAAAAGGATACATTCACAAGGAACGGTAGAAGCTCTAAGATTGATTTGACATTTATCAGCGATCCACTAGCTAAGTCAACTGAGTGGCAAGTGTCAGATATCTACACACATAGTGACCACCAAGCTATCATATTCGAAATACATGACCGCGCAGCAAGAACCATTCCTGCGGTAGCCACTCTAAATCCGCTATGGAAGGAGTTAACTTTGGACAAAGAAGCTTTTAAGCTCTCAATGGACGACATCCACCTAACTGGCAGTGCGAATGATAAAGCAATACAACTGATGCGCTGCATAACAAATTCATGTAACGCATCTATGGCAAAGAAAGGCCGGCGGAATGGCAGACAACATGTGTATTGGTGGACTGACCAAATTTCCGAACTATATCAAAGAGCAAGGTGTCGCGAAAATTTTATAGCGCACCAAAAAGCCTATAAAACATCGAAAACTGACCTAAAAAAGGCGATATGGAACAGCAAGGCAAGATGCTTCAAGGAAATGTGTGAAGAGGTCGAGATTAACCCCTGGGGACTAGGATATAAAGTGGTTATGAAAAAATTATATAGCTACCGTCCACTAGTTACCACAAACGCAGCTAAGCTACAAGCAATAG